CTAGGATAAGGGAATGTTTATGACAATGTTAGGCCAAGTCAATATATAAAACAAGCAAAAAACCGAATCACAGGAAAAGGATGGAAGAAAATTTAAAAATATGAATAGTAATTGTTTGAATTACAGGTTTTAGCATGATGTTTTTCTAGATTTGCCTGTGTTTTCCAGATTTCATATATTTACTTTTCCACAGAAAATATGTAATGAAATGAAATGAATGAAGAAGTTAGTTGATCCCCAAGAGCCTTGGATTAGAGAGGATTCTTGTCCAGGAAGTTTAACCAGCTGTGGTCTGATATAGATTCTCAGATCCTTTAGACACACAAGGTGTCATATGAAAGCTGAGGGCCAGCCTGCCAACTAACATAATCAATGGAGTTCACTTCTTAACAAAAGGCCATGGTAAACACAAAGGATGAAGTAAAGGTTGGAATAATAAGACATAACTAACATGCTGTATATCATAACTCACAATGTAGCAATCAACCAAAGAACAATCTTTATTGGGCTAAAACTTGGAAAGAAATGTTACTATGTTTCATTGACAACTACACAGATCCCTTATATCTTTATGGATAGAGTCATATACTTGAAGGGAACCCAGTGAGCAAATGACTCAGCAAAAGGCCAAGTTAACAAATTATGCTTCTGTGGTCATTTATGTTTACATTATTTTTTTGGATAAGCACAGAGCTTCAGCCTTGTTATAAATGAATAAAAGTGTATTCATATTTCAAAAACAATGGTTTTGACACTAAGGAATTACACAAAGGAAATAAATTCACATACTCACAATTATTTAATAAGCCTGTAGTAGAGTTAGGTGTGGCAACACACACCTGTAATCCCACCTAGTTGGGAGGCCGAGGCTGGGGGGGTGCAAGTTTGAAGCCAGCCTAGACCGTTTCTCAAAATAAAAATATAGAAAGCCTGGGGGTGTGAATCCAGTGCCACAAAAACAAAACAGAACAAACCTGTAGTAGTAGTACGTATAAGAAAAAAAATCACTCAAATTTTTATAATATTAGATTTCAATTAATGTTAGTTGGCAATAATCTATTCTTCCTGGTATAATTTTAAAAGTTCTTAATTTTTTCCTCTATAGACATTAATTGGAAGCCTGCTGCTACAAAGCCTGCTGACACATGGATGTCCACCAAAGGTCCATGTGTTGAGGGTTTGGTCATCAGCCTATGGCACTGCTGTGAAGCATTACACCCTTCGGGAGATGGGGCCTAATTAGAGGAAGGCATGCCTCTTCTTTGAAGGGGATATTCCTCTCTTTGCTTCTTGGATGGCTTGAAGTCAATAGCTTCTTTTACCATGTGCTTCTGCCATGATGTACTATGTTGCCATACACCTAAAAGCTATAGSGCCAGGTGAACATGGATTGAACCCATGAGCCAAAATAAAATTATCCTCCCCCCCCCCATGGTACTGGGGATTGAACCCAGGGGTGCTTTACCACTAAGATATTCCCAATGCTTTTTATTTTTTGAGATAGTGTCCTGCTAAGGTGCCCAGGTTGACTTCAAACTTCTGACCCTCCTGCCTCAACCTCCTGAGTAGCTGGAATTACAACACACCTGTCAAGTTTTCCTCCTTTTAGGTTGGTTTATTCTAGGTATTTGTTATGGAAACTGAAAGCTGAATAACAGATTTGCCTTCAGATTTAATATCTCTTTAGGCTCATATCACCTTTAGTATTCATATCTGACGATGAGAAATGGTTGTATTTTTCAACATAGACTCTTTGGCCTAGACTAATTAGGAAATAAGTGAAACAGGTTCTTCAGAAATATATGAAACTGGATAATAGAAGTACAATGGAATAGCTAAAGAAGCTGTTAATAATTTTTAAATGCTATGAAATCGTGACTTTCATACAGATATAAGATGAATGCATTACATCAAACATTTCATTCAACTCATTAACTAATTAATGAGGGAACCAGTAAGATGTTACAACTAGTTCAAAGGAGTACCCAAGGTACCAGACATACATAGGCAGTCAGGGATACATAAATTAATCTGCTTAAACTGGTAAAACCAGTCAATAGTCATAGAATAATAATCAACTGAATTTCCATTGAGCACAATTTGCATATTTATGAGCAAGAATAATTTTTATTATGGTCACTATAACTTCCAAAAACTGTAAAATATGGGTTCAATCCCCAGTACCACAAGAACAAACAAACAACAACAACAACAACAACAACAAATAAACCTGTAAAATAGCTCAAAGACAATGTACATACACCACAGAGGCAAATATGCTGACTCTGTCTGGTTTTCTTTTTTAATATTTATTTTTCAGTTTTCGGTGAACACAACATCTTTATTTTTATTTTATGTGGTGCTGAGGATCSAACCCAGCGCCCTACACATGCCAGGCGAATGCATTACCGCTTGAGCCACATACCCAGTCCTCTGTCTGGTTTTCTATTAAAGAAAACCCACAACCTTTTTTTCTTCATTTGAAAAGCCTTTCATAATGTTTTCCCTACATAGCTAATTTTTGATGAGTGCTTATTATGGGCTGGGTGCTTTCTCAGTTACTTTAGATGTGTTAATTTACTAAATTATCATAGTAATCTTGTGAGGTTGATTCTATCATTATTTCCATTTTATAGGTGAGAAAACTAAGGTACAAGAAAAGGCAGGTAATTCACCCAAGGTCATGAAGCAATAGGAGGTGGAGCCAGGATCTGAATCCAGGTACTTTTGCACCAGCTAGGCTGCCATGGATGCAAAATTATTAAGTATATTGCATATCCAACCAAAAGTAATATTATTTAAAAAAAATTAGGTGGAGAATCTTCATGCATATATGTGAAGGAAAGGAACAGATAGATTATACTAGATACAGAACAGGAAAGATGCAAAGAGGATTCAGAAGTGTTTCCACTGATTGTGAGAGGGAGGACACTGTTCAAATAAAATGATGAGGAGGAAAGTTCGTTTGGTTTGGTTTTCAGACGTGTAGACTATGAAGTAATAACAAGATGTCAAGATGGAAAAAAAAAACAGGCAGGAGATCAAAATGAAAATGTGGATGGGTAATTTTTTTTTTTTTTTTTTTTTTTTAGTGGAGTGGATTTAAATTGTAGTATTGAAAACACTGGCATGTATCTATCAGAGCTAAAGGACAAGCTCAGAGAGAAGAGAGAACATTATTGCAAAAAGGGCTGGAGCAGGGCTAATGTATAGGCCTAAGAGAGGCAATTTCAAAGAGGAAATCCAAAGCTAGGTGAAGGGGTTCTTAGGTCCAGGGAACAAGGTGCTGTCTTTTGGTTTAAACAAACATTAAGCTACAGTTACAAATGCAAATGGGCAGAATTGAGGCTGAGGGTAAATAGAGGCTACACCATAAAGGGACTGTATCCGACACATAGTAAAGGTTGTCAAATAGGGAAGGGCCACGATCAGATGCACATTTTAGAAAGAACCAGTATGGCTGCAATGCAACACAGAACAGTTTGCATTGCAAACTGGAGCGGGGAGGAGTCCCTGGGATCAAGGTATAGGCATCTGGTGGTTTGGGTCAGATCAGTGATGGCAATTAACTAAAAATTAAGGGGTCTGAGGGTGTGAATACCAAAGGAGGTCCATGTACCATGTGAACAAATATTTAAAAGTTATAAATCAAGCTAAGAAACTATAAAAATATACTTGATCTTTCTACCTCTATACACACACATCTTCATAAGGACCTAAGGTTTAAATTGAGAATTTTCGGACTTCTTGGAGTTAAATGTTGGTCCTTGGGGGCCCAGAAAAGCAGACTGTGGCTTGTAGCCTGCCCTTCTTCTTCTTCTTCTTCTTTTTTTTTTTTTTTCCTCACCAAACACCAATCTAAAATAATACAGAGGGCTGGGGATATGGCTCAAGCGGTAGTGCGCTCCCCTGGCGTGCGCGAGGTCCTGGGTTCGATCCTCAGCACTACATACAAATAAAATAAAGATTTGTGTCCAGCAAAAAATAAAAAAAATATTTTTWAAAAAATAAAATAATACAGACATTTTGAATACTTGGACCATGTCTGACCTTACCTTTAAGTGAACTGAGGCAAATCAGTTTCTATAATGTTCAAAGGACTGACTGGCATTGGGGATAAAGCAGGAAATAAAATGATGAAACCACCCTCAGGGAGTGCAGTGGGAGAGGCAATCAACAAGCAGGTGAGCTACAGGTAGTGGCTGACTGATAGTGACCATTAGTGTTTTTCTCCCTAAGGAAGGTGACCAGTGGTTCCCAACCAGGGCAACACTGCCAGAAACCTCTGGGAATGTGTGTGGGCTTCTGGAGGTCACCATACCCGGCCACTAGGGAATGGCAAACTTCTATCTAGCAATGTGCAGGACAGTTCCTCCCAGAAGGTGCTGCAGCTCCCAAAGTGCCAAGAGTGCACCGGTTTGCCAAACTCAGAAGATCAAGGGTCGTATGTTTTCTCTCATATATGGAGAGAGGGAAAAGGAAAAGTAAGGTGTGGGGGTGGTGAGAATCTCAATAAAATCCAAGGGAGATCAGAAAAGGAAAGAGACCACGGGTGGCCGGAGGGGAGTGTTGCGGAGTGATATTGGCCAAATTATATTGTTATATTGTGTGCATGCAAGAATATATAACAACAAACCCCATCATTATGTACAACTATAGTGCACCAATAAAAAATGTGGAAAGACCAAAAAAAAAAAAAAAAAAGGAGCTCCCCTGTTGAGAACAGGGCAAGGCAGCTCCTTTAAGAAGAAGGCATCCTTCACAACTCAGGTGCTGCGGGGAGGAATACGGGGGTTCCCTGGGTGGATGTGGGAGGGGTAGCCCGGAGGAATCGGCCGGACTTGGGCTGGGCTTTCCCGGAACCTGCGGCAGGGAGCGCGGTGGCCCAGATGCAGAGGACCACAGCGCCACCTGGCTCTTCTCTGAGCCGAGACGCGAGGCTGCCCTCCTCGGCTGCTAGGCGGCCTCTGGACCTGCAGGGGGCGTCGCTGCGCGCCACCGGCGCGGGGTCGAAGGGCACGCGGCGTCAGTGTCATGGCGGCCTCCACGGTGGGCTGTGGCTGGCGCCCGCTGCAGCTTAACATCCCTAGTCTGTGCCGCAGCGGGCCGGGGCCCCGTAGTATGTGGGCATGCGTGCGGCGGCTCCCGGGGCCCGCGGTGACCCGGAGGAGCGTGGTGGCAACCAGTGGKCCGGGCGTCTCGGGCACTGACCACTACTGTCTGGAGTTGTTGCGGTGAGCCAGCCCGGCCTGCCCCGGCGGCAGGTCGTAGAGCTGCCCTTGGGGACAGGTGGTCGCCGTTAGGGCTAGTGTCCTGCCCCGGCTAGGGGATCAACGCCTTCCTTGTGTCTCTCTGGGCTGTGTGTGTTATGGTGCCTCCGAGTGCGCGCGCGGAGGGAGCGAGGCGACAGGGACATTCACAGGGGCCACTACTAAATCGTGGCAAAATTTCTTCGCTTGCCCACACCTATCATCTTGCCAGAACCTTGATTTTAACCGACATTCGTTTTTTGCATGCATACCCCTTTTTATTCACATAACAACTAGCTGTTGATTTTAACAGTAGTTTACATTGTGTTCTTTCTATGCTGATGTGCATTACTAAAAATAGTTTATAGGTAATTGTTTAATTCCCGTTATAAATGTAGACCTACCATTTAGGGTTGTGAGAAAGCATTTTGAACAGTGCCTGGCACATAATTAAGGGCACTTTAAGTGCAGTGTAAGTCATTATTATCTGACGGAAATGGGGTTTAGGGGAATTTGAAAGAGGTTCACTAGAATAGCCTAATGAAGTCAGAGACTTGAAGTGTTTTGTTTCTTCTGGTAGCTCTGGGAAAGGGTTGGCATTTAAGAATGGCTCTTTATTTAATATTTGTGGAGGTGGGTTGAGCCTGCCTTGTAATCCAGGTCTGACTATAGAGACCAGTGGCTTACCACTCCACCCACCCACATTGGCATAAAGGTTTCCTTTTTTGATGTTTTGTTTTGTTTTTCCACCCCTGCTAGGGATGAACCCAGGGCCTTGCTTTTACTACCTCAGCATTCAAAGTGGTATCATGTCTTAAAAGTACTTGGTCCCAAAGGCTTCTGATACTAGAATAACTAAACTACCTTGGATTCGATTAGGCAAGGGAATTTTAAAAATACATGTGTTTCAGTGTTTTGCTTTTGTTTTTGTTTTCTGTGCTGAAATTTTAACCCCAGGGCCTCCTGTGAACTAAGCAAGTGCTTAACCATTGAGCTACATCCCTAGCCATTATTTTATTGTTTTTTTTTTTCTATATCATCTTGCTATGTTACCCAGACTGACCTTGAGTTCCTGGGCTCAAGTGATCCTCCTGCCTTAGCCTCCTGAATATTACCATTACCTCCAGCTGTCTTTATTCTTTTTGATGCTCAAGTTATTGCACACTAGGCCAAGCCAGTTTCTGTGTTCTTTTGTCACATCTCCCCCTTTCTTTATTTTTATTTTTTAAAGAGAGAGTGAGAGAGGAGAGAGAGAGAGAGAGAATTTTTAATATTTATTTTTTAGTTCTCGGCAGACACAACATCTTTGTTGGTATGTGGTGCTGAGGATCGAACCCGGGCCGAACGCATGCCAGGCCAGCGCGCTGCCGCTTGAGCCACATCCCCAGCCCCTCTCCCCCTTTCTTTAAAGGTATCTTTCTGCTCAAGAAGATGTTTCAGTCCTGTCCTTTATTTTCCTACCCCAGCCCTGAGTCAGTTGTTCTTCTAAGGACCCCTAGATTCTTTCAGTGGAGAACAGTTTTAGGAACAAGTTCCAGGTGCTTGGTATGTTCACTGATGCTGGGAGTATGAGAGGATATTGCTTCTAGGTTCTTTAAGCAAATGCTGCTGGAAAATTGTGCACACACAGTCCTATATTGGTTTCCATGTCTTATTTCTCAGATTTATTTATCTCTATATTAAGAACTCTGAATTTATATCAATACTGCATAAAATATTTTCTTGATTTCTTCTTTTGTTACTCATTCAAATTCTTACTACAAGCAAAGTGACTCTGAAACAATTAAAATTATAAGTACTACATCAATAATAATAAATTGAAATTTCTTTTTAACTGTCCTGAGATTGGGAGCAGGTACATTTTTTTATAATTAGAAATAATTGACAAGATAAGAAAGGTCAGACCTGTTCTGAATGAAAGCCTCATTGATTTTAGTTAATTTTGGTCCATATTTTTGTGTAGTTTGAAAAGTGAAGAGTAATTACCTTTTTTTTTTTCTATTTGTTACAGGAAACGAGATTATGAAAGTTATTTATGTTCCCTGCTGCTCCCTGCCGAATCCCGAAGTTCTGCTTTTGCATTGAGAGCCTTCAATGTGGAATTGGCTCAGGCTGGTATTAAAATACCTTAAACTGTTATTTGCAAGATGGTGATATGTTTAATACTAAACAATTATAACTATATTAAAGAAATATAGTTGTAATTATTATGTTAGATGTATTTTAGATCTCTGATGGTACTTTCTTTTTTTATTAACTATTTAGGTTTAATTCAATACCAAAAATAAAACTAGTTGATAAACTTAATTTTTCTACAAATTTTATTCGTAGAAAACAAATAAAAACAAATAAATCCTGGAATTTTAAATTTATTTTCTGAGGATATTACAAAACTATGCAATTAACATTGCACATTTATCTGTTAAGTTAATCAGAGCATTACTGCTTATTCTCTTCAATTACATAATCTACATGTATATGGAAATTTTTCAGCTGTGTGTGTGTGTGTATGTGTGTGTGTGAGAGAGAGGGACACAGACATACTGGGTTTTGAACCCAGGGGCACTTTACCACTGAGCTACATCTCTGCCCTCTTTTTTTTTTTTGTCTGTATTAGGAATTTAACCCAGGGCCTATGCATGCTAGGCAAGTGTCTAGTTATATCCCCAGCCCATCACCCCCTTTTAATATTTATTTTTGAGACAAGTTCTAGTCAAGTTGCCTAGGCTGGCCTTAAACTTGCAATCCTCCTGCCTTAGGCTCCCAAGTAGCTGGTATTACAGGTATGTGCCCCCATGCCTAGATTTTAAAACACTTTTAAAATTAATATTATAAATTTAATGTGAAGTGAGGATGAAAGAAATTTTAGCAAATCCAGACTTTAGAGCATGCTTACTCATTTTTGTCTTAAAAGTTACAAAGGAAGGAGACTTCTTTTTTTTTTCAAATGTAGAGTATGTGTACTGATAAAAAACAAATTGAAATGAGGAGTGGAAATGAAGGAGTTTAAGTAGAATGGCATTTGTCTACTAAGTAAATTGAATGGAGAGTTCAGATATTGAGAGTAAAGGAGCAGGAAAGTACTGGAGTCTTGAAAAGAATGGCAAGTTTGGTACAGTTTCTCTGCTGAGTATTATAGGAAGTGAACAAGGAATGAATAAAAGGATGTGAGTATAGCACCAAGGTAAAACTGAGATTCACAACTATGAATCTGTAGTGTTTATGAGACTGGCTATTTTTTTTTTTTCTCTGAAGTATTCCTTGATGTCATGGGTTGTCCTTTCTCAAGTTTAAACTGCACATCAGCATGTTACGTCAGTCACAGTTTAGCTATAAATAGTCACCACTGTGGTCTTCCACTATAATTTATCAGTGATTAAAATTTTAATAAACCCTCAGTGTTCCCTCTGAATCCTCTGTCACTTTTTAGAAGCACCTTGCTACTTTTTTATATATACTTGTTTGTTCACTGATTCAACAAGAATTAATTTTCTAAAATATGCTAGATACTATTTTAGGTCCTTGGGGTATAGCATTGAATAAAATTTGCAAAGTTCCTGCATTCAATGAACAAATAAATGTATAATATGTCAGAGGAGACAAGTTCTGTGGGGAACAGTAAAGCAGCACAAGGGGGAGAGTGGGAAACTGAGCATAGCAAGGTTTCCTATTTTATGTAGTGGTCAGGAAAAACCTCACTGAGAAGGAGGTATTGGAACAAAAAATTGCAGGAAGTGAGGGAGTGTATTATATAGTAGGTAGGCAGGGTGTTCTAGGCAGAAAGAGCAGCAAGTATAAAGGCTCCAAGGCATGTGCACACCTGATACAGTCAAAGAATAGAAAGCCAGTGTGGATAGCAGGGAAAGGAGGGCACAGAAGGTGAGGATGAAAGTTGAGGTCTTGGAGATGACTGCAGTCACTTGACCTTTACTCTGAATGAGATGGGCAGCCATTGGAGGATCCTGAGCAGAGAGGGACATCATCTTTTGGTCACCTTTTTTAATACCTTTTTTTTTTTTTTAATTTATTTTTATGTGGTGCTGAGGATTGAACTTAGTGCCTCACACATGCTAGGCAAGTGCTCTACCTCTGAGCCACACCCCAGCCCCGTTTGGTCACCTTTTAAAAGGATTACCTTTGCTGCTGTATTGCTGTGCTTACTACATGCCACCGGGATCTGAACCCTAAACTTTGCCAAGAAATCCACCCTCCACCATTTGCTCAATCATTCTGTCTACATATGCAGGTTTTTTGTTTTTGTTTTTTTTGATAAATACTGTACTTTCAGAGTATTGACAGTGTATTTATTAAAGTTTTTAACCTTATTTACAGATCAAGGACTCAGTCTCTGAAAAAGCAATTGGACTGATGCGAATGCAGTTTTGGAAAAAAACTGTGGAAGAAATATACCATGACAATCCACCACATCAGCCAGTGGCCATTGAACTGTGGAAGGTAAAAAAAGAAATTATTGCTTTTCATTCATAAGAATTTATGAGTCTACTTTGGATACAGTTTTGGTAGAAGTGATGATAGTAGAATCCTGAAAATTTTCTTAGGCCCATGTAATATTTAGATCTGTGTTAGTTTTGGCAAAAGAATTTATTTTTTATTTATTTTTTCTTGGTAGAAGTATTTAAAATCATTCACTGATAATTTGCACAGGTTTTTGCTGTATTTATTTATTAAAGGAAAAAAGAATGTGGTCTCTTTATATTGTAAATTGCATAGGCGTTTCCATATTCTTTTGTAGAGTTTAATCCTTGCTAATTCTGATKCAGTGGCAGATAAATTTTCTGTTCTATCTGCCCAACAACTCCTTGTACCAGTGTTTTAATGCACACTCTGTGCTCTAGAACAATAATTTTTTTGTGAAGAGAGACTTGCTCTCAGCATATCCCAAACACAAATCTAAAACTACCTTGTCCAGTTTAATAAAATTGCTCACTAATTGTTAGGTGTTAAGAGAATGGATACCTATGGACTAGAATATTACTTGTATTGCTAGATGTATAGAGTAAATGGCTTTATATTAAAGCAAGTATATGGATTCCTCATTCAAAAACAGGAATAATTTAGAAACATGCATAAATTATGCACAGAGGAAGGGAATTAGATGTCTTTTGTCACTGATCTGTGTCCTTATTGTAATATGATAAGTGCCAGAACAGGGTGTCTGTAACAGGAGCCATCAACAGACCTGACAGTGGTACACACCTCTTCTCAGGTCTGTGCACCAGCAGAGACAGGCCTGGTTTCTGGGCTCCAGATTGACTTCACAGAGCCCCAGTAAAGATGGAAAGCCAGACCCCCACACCGGGGACTCAGAAGAAAGAGTGGATGGGAAGCTGTGAGTATTAGATTAGTTGTTTACTACCTCTATTTGTCCCACTTCAAGGTCAACCAGATTACCTAGTAGAAAGAAAAGTTCCTCTAAATTCCAGAAACCCTATTGATTATTTTACACACAAACCTGACTGCATTGCAGGTTTATGTTGACTGCATCAAAGGTTCGTGGCCTTTTTCAGGAAATACAGTAGAAGATCAGAAATTCCTTTAATGCAAATTTATCTTTCCTTAGTGTCTCTTAAAAAAACAGATGATACATCTGAATTGCATTATGCTTATGTATGCATCAATTTTGGATCGATAGTTTGTCAAATTTTAATAAGCACTTGTTATTATTTATTTATTTGTGATGCTGGGGATCAAACCCAGGGTCTTGAACATATCAAGCAGTGCTCTACCACTGAGCTATATCTCCAATACAAGGTGCTTAAATTATGATGATTAATGTTGGCTGACTTTCCAAAGTGACCTATCATAAGGTTAATATGAATATTTGAAAGAAGCAGGTGGTGTCCAGAGCAGTTGTTCTTGTTGAATATTCTCTGTCTCTCACCAGTCTGTTGAACTGTGTGCTCATTGTGATCCAGTAAAACTTCCCATTGGTTCTTTGAAGACTGTCAGGTCCTTTTTAGAGGGGAGGCAATGATATTATGTTGTCCGGAGAGCTGGGGTCTGGTGGGTCTTCCAGCCCTGATAGGAACTGAAATCGAACAAGGAAAAAGGCCCAAATTCTTTATTTAAGGTAAATACATCAAAAGGTTTCAGAGTGGCAGGCTTCTTAAGGAAAACAGGGTAAAGATGGGAAAAACAAGTTGTTTGGGGCTAGGGAAGTTATATCCACCATAGGGAAGGAGGGGACTGCATTTGAACCTAGGGCTGTGAGCTAAGGTAAGGTGTCAGCTTTAATCTGAGCAATCTACAACTGGTGGGTTCACACCAAGAGTTCTCAGAAAAGCAACCCCCCTGCCTTGTGATGGCTCAAACAAACTCATAATTCATACATGGCTTCCAACACTTTTCTGCTGTATTGTTCCATTGATATTTTTCAGGGTACAAAATAATTGAATATTTATAATTTCTTATACATTCCAGATAGGGTACTCCATTTCTCTGTGTATGAATATGAGTTATAGTTTGAATTTATGTCTAGAATCAAGGTTTTTATTTAGTTTGGCTTTATTTTCCAAAGTTGATACTTTATTCAGCTCTTTTTCAATATTCATTCTTTTAACCCTGATCTCTAAATTTCTTCAGAATTAGACAGAACCATATTTTGTGGTCAAGGAATTGCAACTGTTATAGCTTCATCCTTAAGTAAATAGGAGTTTGACTTTTCATAGATTGAATATTTATTGAGTACTCTGACATGTCAGGAATAGCACTAAATGGTGTAGTAACAAAGATCAAATATGCCTGACCCACTCAGACACATATAAACTAAAAAAGAACAGGAGTCTAATGACTGATTGGCTGACTTCTGGAATTTGGGAGAGAAACCCATGGGAAGTCCTGAGAGAAAATAGTAGTGCTCAGAACATTTTGGAACCAACTTCACACACACAGCCCTTTTAGCTTCTATCAGGCTCCCACCAGGCATTGTTGGCTCCATTCTTATAATTACACTTTTGTTACATTCATGTGCATTGATGAGCATGCTGCCATTTACTTTCTAGTATCAATTGTATATGATGAGTCTTAGTTGAAGTATAGGATATCCCTAAGACTTAATGTTTCACTGCTATATTTATTTTATACTTAGTGTTGATCTGGCAAAAAATGTTTAAAAACTTTCTTGGGGGTAATTTCAAACTTTCAGAAAGGTTACAAAATTAAAAATTGTACAATGAACATCTTTATATCCTTTACCTATATTGGTATATTAACATTTTTATCTCATTTTAAAATCATTGATGAGCATTCTCTTTTCCTTCCTCCTCTCTTTTCCCTCTCTCCCACTTCTGTATATTCACATATATGTGTATATGTATATATATTCATGTTCATAATTTTTTCCTGACTCAAAATTTAAGTTATATACATTATGACACTAACCTAAATCATTTCAGTATTTCCTAAGAATGTGGATATTCCCTTATATAGCACTTTTGTCTAATTTCCCATTCATATTAYAATTTTGTTTGTTGACCTAAAAGGTCCACTATGCATTTTTCCCCTCCAGTATAAGAACCAATCTAGGGTCAAGTATTTAGTTGTTATTTATCTCTCTTTGCCCTCCCCCACACACACTTTCTCCAGCAGTACTGGGGATTGAACCCAGGAATGCTTGCTTTGCTCAGGGTTTTTTTTTTTTTTTTTTTTTTTTTTGAGATAGGGGCTAACTAAGTTGCTCAGGATGGCTCTGAGCTTGTGATTCTCTTGCTTTAGCCTCCCAAGTAGCTGGGATTTTTGGCAATAGCCATTGCACCAGCCTGTATCTTTTGTCTTTTATGACATTGACTTGGGAATTGAACCCAGGACCTTGTGTGTTCTAGGCAAGTGCTTTATCACTGAGCTACATCCCTATCCTGACATTGATGTTTTTTAAATATAGCCTTCCCACTATTTTTCCTCCCAGAATATTCATTTTGGATTTGTGTAATGTTTTCTTATTATTATATTTAGGTTATAGATTCTTGACTGGAACTTAATAGGTGATAGGTCCTTTTCAAGGGATCCTATTTGGAAGGATACTTTGTCCATTTTTCCTTTATTGGCATTGTTAGTTTTGATTACCGAGTCAAGATGTTTTCCATTTTTCTTACTCTAATTATAATCCTCTTTGCAATTTAAATAGCTAACTTTGAAGAGATACTTTAAAACTCTGCAAATATCCTGMTCCTCCTCAAAAATTTTCCCCTAAACTTTGTTGTCATTGGTGGTTCTTATATATTCAATCTTTATCATTATGGTTGCAAAATGATAATTTCTCAGCTCGGTATAGTGGCACACACCCGTAATCCGAATTGAGGCAGGAGGATTGCAAGTTCAAGACCAGCTGGGTAAGTTAGCAATACCCTGTCTCAAAATAAAATTTAAAAAGGCTGGGATAGCACTTTTACATGCCGCTGTTGTCTGTGGTCATTCTCTCAACCATGGGCAATGAAAGAAAGACTGGACAAGGCTCGTCGTCGGAGAAGTGCCTGTTTACTGAGGAACAGCTTTGCACATTTATAGAGCTGGGGGTGGTTTAACAGTTGGCATGGGGCRCTTTCTGATTGGTGGGTAAGGATCATGAGGGTCAGCAGGGCTCACCTTTGGGTGGCTCTTCTCACCACTGTCTCAGGGGATGGGGAAGTTAGTACCGGAAGAGAAGCGCAGTCAGCGTCATCTTTGGAGCCGGGGCAACTCCCAACAGTCAGCCCCATCGTGTTCTTTGACATTGCCATCAAAAATGAGCACTTGGGTCGAGTCTCCTTTGAGCTGTTTGCAGACAAAATTCCAAAGATAGCAGAAAATTTTCATGCTCTGAGTACTGGAGAGAAAGGATTTGGTTATAAGGGTTCCTGCTTTCACAGAATTATTCCAGAATTTATGTGCCAGGGTGGTGACTTCACATACCTCAGTGGCACTGGTGGCAAGTCCATCTATGGGAAGAAGTTTGAAGATGAGAACTTCACCCTGAAGCATACAAGCCCTAGGCCAAACACAAATGGTGCCCAGTTTTTTTGTCTGCTCTGCCAAGACTGAGTGGTTGGATGGCAAGCGTGAGGTCTTTGGGAGGATGAGAGAGGGTATGAACATTGTGGAAACCATGGAGCATTTTGGATCCATGAATGGCAAGACCAGTAAGAAGATTACGAATACTGACTGTGCACAATTCTAACACATTGGGCTTCTGTTTATCTTAACCACCAAACCATTCCTTCTGTAGCTTTGGAGAGCACCCCTCTACACCATCTGCTTGCAGTATCCCATAATGTTTGTGCTCTCGCTGCAGTTCTTTAGGTTCCATGTTTTATTTTCCTCCCAAGTCTAGCTGGATTGCAGAGTTAAGTTTATGATCATGAATAAAAACTAAATGACAAAAAAAAAATGGTGGGAGGGCTGGTATATATATATATATATATATATATATATATATATCTCAGTGGTAGAGAGCTTACCTACTATGTGCAGGGACCCAAGTTTAATTCCTAGTATTGCAAAACTGAAGCACAACAAAAAATTCCAAAAAGATAATTTTTCAACTCCAACACTCTGTTTACATCTATCAATTGGCAATGGATATGAGCTCTTACTCTCCTTTATTTAATTGTTTTCTTATTAATTACTGGGGTGTGTGTGTGTATGTGTATTTATGTGTTTATGTTTGCAGTGGTTTATAATTCATTAGTGGATTTAATCATTTTGGAGTTCAGATTTCCCAGAGCTCTCCCAGAGTGGGAGCTCCTTCAAATTGGCATCACTATCCTTATAACATCCCTCCATTTTTTTTTTTTTAACACTTTCTTATTTTCTGGCACAATAAGACATTCTGGGATTATCTTGAACCTTCCCTGTCCCAACTTTGGAAGCACACAAAACTTGAACTGTGATTCCTTTGTTGGGAGTTATTTTAAGACTACTATCTGGGTACAAGGTGGGTTCTTTGCCGTTGGAGCATATTACTTGCTAATATAACAGTTTGCCCTGAAGAGTATTTTCACTGGAGTTTTAGTTACTCTTTTCATTTTTAGAGAAGTGGTGTGTTTTGCTAAATAAAATCTGTATCCTATGGGGGAAAACTTGTATATAATGTATAAACATAGACATCAAAGTGTGTCACATAATAGAGATGTTCAGTATTTAATTATTGTTTTTATTTGAAAGTGGAATTGTTAAATTACTAATAATATGGGGGTGGCAAGACATTTATTAGAAAAGTATTAGAAGTATTATCTTGGAAGTGTTTTTTTTTTAGATGCCTCAGTTTATTTTAATTTCTATTATCAGAGGTGTTTAAATTTTGATAAATTTGTTTTATGTTTACTTTTGAGAAAATGATCATCTAGCTGTGTTCCAATGGGAGGTGTGGAAGAGAAAAAACGTTCCATCACTGATGTCTTTTGTAAGGCTAATATTTTAGGAAATAAGTGGAACAGGGAATTGTGAGATGACATTTCAACCTTCTGTCTCCCCTTTCTTCCTATGTAATCTTTATCTCTGCTTCTGATAACCTTATTAGAATTCTCAATGAATGGAATGGGCAAGAGGAAAATAACTACCACAGGGTCAAATTCTGCTTCTAACCTTAAGAAACTAGTGTCTATTTTTCTAAACTTCCATATTTTAAGAAATAAATGTTGCTGCCAGGCACAGTGGCACACATGTGAAATCCCRGTGACTCAGGAATGCTGAACCAGGAGGCTTTCAAGTTTGGGGCCAGCGTCAGCAACTTAGTGAGACCCTGTCTCAAAATTTTAAAAAGGACTAGAGATGTAACTCAGTGGTAAAGCTCCCCTGGGTTCAATCCCCAGAACCCCTTTCTATTCCCCCCCAAAAAAGAAAAAAAAAATCTAGGAGCAACTTCACTGGTTGTGTTTGGCTTAGAGTCTTATGGGGTTGCACATTACAGAGGCCCTGGAAGATGTACTTCCAAGTTGGGTCACTCATGTGGCTGTTGACAGGATGCCTCAGTTCTGTACTACTTAGACCTCTGCATAAGACTGTTTGAGTATCCTCATGGCAGAGCACTTGTTTTCTTTGAGTGAGTGATGGTGTCAGGTTTTAGTTCATAGTCACTTGGCCTATTGCTGTGAGGGCTTGTGAGGCAGAACATCTCTATGGGTGTGGCTGAGCAAAGCTGCTCATCTCGTGGCAGCCAGGAAGCAGAGAAAGAGAGAGATTGGAAATGTTTCTAAATGCTTTCTAGTGMTATTTCTCTAACACTGATATCTTATCTGGTGATGACTTATTACAAATGCTACTTAGTTTTGTATTTGGTTTGTCTTTTAGTCTAATCTGCGTAAGTCATTTCTAATACTTTCCAAAAACTTAACAACACTCTTGTTTTCTTTTAGGCCGTCAAAAGACATAATCTGACTAAAAGATGGCTTATGAAAATCATTGATGAAAGAGTAAGTTGAAATTGTCCAAGTCTTAAGGTTTTTTCTTTTTAATCCTATAGCTTATTCTTCARGGAGGAAATATGTGTGTATTAATATTTTAGATGAAGGAAGTTTTTAGAGAACTATGTCATTTTATCTATTCTTTCATCCTTCATCCTTATATTCCACTACCCTAGTCTCTCTGTTCTTATACCTGGAGACACATAGGCAAAGACAGGTATCTAGGCAGAGGCCTGTATATGCACAACTGCACTCTGTTTTTGTTTTTTTTTTTTTAATTTTTAAATTTTATTTTATTTTGTGATACTGGGGTTTGAATCCAGGGGCACTTAACCACTAAACTACATTCCCAGTCCTTTTTATTTATTATTTTAAGACAGGGTCTCACTAAGTTGCTAAGGTTGGCCTCAAACTTATGATTCTCCTCAAGCCTCCTACCTTAGCCTCTCTGGTCACTGGAATTATAGGAATGCACCACCACACCTGTCTATTTTGGTTTTCTTAATTGGGCATTTTCATACTTTTGCAAAAATAGAACACCATAATATAATTTCATGTATCTTCACCTGGCTTTAATAGTTACCAGCACATGTCCAATCTTGTTGCATCTGTATTCTACCAACTTCCCCCACCCCCATTAACCTCCACTATATTATTTTAAAGTATATGCCAGACATACCATTTTATCTTCAAATACATATATATCTTAAAAATGTAAAGACTTCAAAAACATAACTACCATACAATTATCATACCTTAAAAATTACTAATAACTTCTTTTTTTTAAGAGAAAGAGAGAGAATTTTTTTTTTTAATATTTATTTTTTAGTTTTCGGCGGACACAACATCTTTGTTTGTATGTGGTGTTGAGGATTGAACCCGGGCTGCACGCATGCCAGGCAAGCATGCTACCGCTTGAGCCACATCCCCAGCCCTAATAACTTCTTAATATCATTTACTCAAGTAGTCATATGCATACTTTTATGTACATCCCAATRCATGGATCTGTGTCCAAATAGCAGAGGGAAGAAAGTAAGTCTGACAATTCCAGTGATTGGAGTCCTGTAGTATATTCTTAGAGTTGAGTTTTGGGTGATGACTTTATCATTAAGAATGAAATTGCTCAGTTAACCCACAGAGTGAGAGGCATTACGAAAATCTGTTTTTAAGGTATTTTTGTTTTTACAAGATAAAATGAGAAAAACTTAAGACAGAGGTACCTTTTTATTTAATGAAAAGTAACATTTGCCATTTGAAAGGGAAGATATTTAAAAGTAAAGGACTGAGATCAAACATTGACCTACAGATTTGACAAAAATCAAMATTACAGCTTCTTTGCTTTATGTAGATTGACAACTCAACTTAAAATTCATGTGAAAGTGCAAGGGACCTAGAGTAGCCAAAACAATCTTGACAAAGAACAAAGTTGCAAGACTCACATTTCCTGATTTTCAAACTTAGCTATAAAGCTATAGTAACTAAGCTATGTTGTATTGATAAAGAATATAGATCAATAAAATAGAAATGAGAGTCTAGATATAAACCTACTTATTTATGGTCAGGTGAGTGACAAGAGTGAATTTTTTTTTTTATTTTTTAAATTGATGTATTTGTTTTAATTAATTATACATGACAGCAGAATGTGTTTTGATTCATAGTACACAAAATAGAGCACAATTTTTCATTTCTCTGGTTGTACACAAAGTAGAGTCTCACCATTTTGTGTCATCATACATGTACCTAGGGTAAGATAATTTAGTGGGGGAAAAAATAACTTCTTTTTTTTTTCTTTTGTGTGTGTGTGTGTGTGTGTACTCCTGGAGGGAGGATTAGCCTTTTTAACAAATGGTGATTATCCATATGCAAAAGAAAGAATCCGTACCCCTATCTCACACTATACATGAAAACTAACAAAGTGGATCAGAGACCTAAATGCTAGAGTTGAAACTACAAAACTCTGGAGAAAACATAGGTATAAATCTTTGTATTTTTAGGTTAGGCAATGATTTTTTTTTATTTAGGATATCAAAGGCAATTCAAAAAAAGGGAAAATAAAAACAGTTTGGCATTTCTTCCAAAAGTTAAACATAGAGTTACCATATACCCACCCAGTAAAATCAAGGTCTTTTATTACTTTGGGCTTTAGGAGGAACTAAAAATTAAGCCAACCCCATGTCTGTGGAGATTTGTGCACTGAGATTATTCCTGAGTTTTATTTCGAGAGCTGATTTGTAAGTATTGAATGTGTAGTACTATAATATTTTAATTAATGTTATTTTAAATATCTTACTGCCTACTAAACAAATACGCTAAATGGTACTCTTATTTAGTTCTTGAGGATAAAAATAGCAATTTTCTATATAAAATATAGATAACAAACAAACTTTACTTACATTTTCTTTGTAGGAAAAAAATTTAGATGACAAAGCATATCGTAATATCCAGGAACTTGAAAATTATGCTGAAAACACCCAGAGCTCTCTTCTTTATTTAACACTAGAAATATTGGGTAAGTTGTTTTTCCATTTCATATTTCTTTTTTCAAATAAAACACTTTTCAGATTTCACTATTTCCTCATGTGACAGTCTAACCAGTTTAGCACTGAAATTTTTCTTTGTGTTATCTATAAAGGTACATTTTTTTTTTCTAACAGCAAAGGGGGAATATGTATATCCTCCTTTGCAAACAAACTATTCCAAGTACTCAGGCTCTCACAAAGGCACTTTAGATACTTCACAGGAATGCAATCATTTATAATCTGGTAATTGCTGAGAGTTTTACTTTTTTACTATAGCATCTCCTATAATTTGGAAGTCCTGTAGCCTGATGCTTCCTTCCCAGTCAATAATATTTGACCACATTTAAAAAGGAGAAAAAAAATACAGATAATTGTCTTTATAAAAGTTTTAATGAGATTTTTCTTTCCCTTTCTCTCTCTTTTTTTTTAATGTGTATTTTTTAGTTGTAGCTGGACACAATACCTTTATTTCACTTATTTATTTATGTGGTGCTGAGGCTCGAACCCAGGGTCTCGCATGTACGAGGTGAGAGCTCTACTGCTGAGCCACAACCCYGCCCCTCCCTTTCTCTTTAAAACATTTTTTAGATGGTTCTTTTCCTCCTCTGACTTTTCCAAATTAGTGATGTCTTGTAATGAGGAAATTATTTGGCCTGAGGATAATACTATCTCATTTGAAGAAGGTTATATATTTTATGTCCCCCTAAAAGAAAAAATACAAGTCCCCAATGAATTTCCTAGGCCTGTTCTGCCTGCACCCCTGGTGATGTTTGCCATTATAGTGAAAGGAAGAAGCAAAGAGCAGAATGTTTGTAAAGTATATATTTTAAATGAGGTCATATGGAAATTACACAGAAGAGAAAAAATGGAAGACTTGTGCTGTTTTTCTTTGATAACTGATTAAAATTCTAAGTGTGTTCTTGGTGTGCTGAAGTTTGAGGAAAACATTTTAAAGTTTGGTACAGATACCTGCTAATAGGAAAATGGTCAACTTGTTCTTTGCCCAGTTTGTTCTGCCTAAAGCCTGTTTTTCATATATAAAAAATAGGACAAACATCTACTTTAATGTATTTAGGTTGTTTCTCTATGCTGTTTCTATATTTATTTGTCACACACTTAAAAAGAATAGAATGGCCATATTTCATTTCCAAAATCATAGGTATAAAGGACCTTCATGCAGATCATGCTGCAAGTCACATTGGAAAAGCACAAGGTATTGTCACCTGCTTGAGAGCAACACCCTATCATGGTAGCAGAAGAAAAGTATTCCTTCCTATGGATATTTGTATGCAGGTGAGGCTGTAATTTGCACATTCTAATAATTTACCTCAGGAATGCATGGAGTGAAGTTATCTCTTGGTTCTTGCTTAGTCTATTCCAATTTGAAAGTAAAACTGATTGCTTCCTGCAAATGTTCTTCTTTTTTTGCCCCAGAGTTAATCAAGTCAGAATTTAATTTGTTAGGTGTGTTAGGTCTTTGGAGGAGCTGAGTAAGAAGGTCTAGAGAACTTCATTTTTTGTAGCTTCAAATTGATGCTTTATTCCCTTCCCTTCCAAGCAATCATAGTAATTATTCCTAGTATTTGCCTTGGCCTGTTCTTTATTTTATTAGAGGAAATAGTCTTTTTTCTTTTTTTAAGTCCTGGGGATTGAACCCAGAGCCTCATGCATGCTAGGCAAGTGCTATACCACTGAGCCACACCCCCAGCCCAGTCCAAATTTTAAAATGTTATTCATCAGAACTTTATTTTTCTGTGTGAGATTCTTTATTGTCTTTGATTTTAAAATTCTTACGTGTTTGATTTTTGGCTTATGTAATTTTGTTCTTCCTACAACTATTGTTAGTTAACATCTTATTGCATATTCCAGCAGTGTGTGTGTTTCTCTCTGTACACACAGACATGTATACATACATATATTTAGTTTTTAGAAAATAGGTATTATATTATATATACCATACTGTTCTATCACTTATAGTCTCCTTGTTTTTTTTCTGGGGATCAAACCCCATGCCTCACATATCCTAAGCATATATCCTATTAGTGAATTACAACCTTATCCTCAGCTGTTTTCTTGGGTTAAGCTAGTTTTAAGTATGCTTATAGAGTTCTGATATAATGTATATTTTCATACACAGCATGGTGTCTCACAAGAGGACTTTCTACGGAGGAACCAAAATAAAAATGTAAGGGATGTAATATATGACATCGCCAGCCAGGCACACTTACACCTAAAGCATGTAAGTAGCGTCTTTTTTGAAAACCATTTAGGAAATCATCACTTCAAGATGTGTCTATTTCTAGAACATTGTTCTGGTATTTTTACCTTAGCAGTCTTTGTTCCATTTTTCATTAAATTCCCAGTAAATTTATCTCAGGGACTATTGTAAATGTTGTCCCCCCTTTTTTTTAGGTACCAGGGATTGAACTCAGGGCACTCAACCACTGAGCCATATCCCCAGCCCTATTTGGTATTTTATTTAGAGACAGGGTCTCACTGCATTGCTTTAGTGCCTCTCTTTGCTGAGGCTGGCTTTGAACTCACGATCCTCCTGTCTCAGCCTCCTAAGCTGCTGGGATTACAGGCATGTGTCACGGAGCCCGGCTAACTTTACCCACTTAAAAAAGAAAATTCATGTTCCCTCTGCCAGCAGATGAGTGCACCCTTTACTAAGTCAAGCCTGAACTTTTGTATGTGGCTTCTTCTGCTTTGCTCACAGGGTATCTTGACATGTGCCATGGCTGCTGGTGTCTCTGTCCTTCCTTCCAAGGACTTTGCATCCTCAGCAGTCCCCCACTGGTGTTTTCAGTTTGGGTCTCTGATAACCTGCTCCCCAACCCTTTGAATTTTTTTTTTTTTTTTTTTGGAGATGCTGTCACACTATGTTGCCCAGCCTGGTTTCAAACTCCCGAGCTGAAGTGATTCCTCTKTAGCTTCAGTTTCCTGTTAAAGTTGCCCCTTTAATCTTCTGGATTGTTGCTACTAAATTTACAGGTAGCCCGTGAAACCTTTTATTTCTTCTTTTTCTCTCCTAGTTAAACTTGTTGAATAAGTGGTTTGTAATTCATTGTTACCCCTAGACTCTTCCCACACAGGCATGCTTATCCTGTTATAATTTGTCTTCTCTCTACTGTAATATACAGTTGCTGTTAAATAATCTTATTGCCAAATTAAATGGCTCCTTATTTTATGTTTTTGTTACCAGGAATTGAAACCAGGAGTGCTTAACCACTGAGCCACATCCCCACTGCTTTTTATATATATGAATACATACACACACACACACACACACACACACACAC